CAAGGGAGCCGGAATGCCTTTTTTGACAAGTTGTTGGTAAATGTTAGGTCATGTTGAGGTATTGATGATAAGAAAGTAAGTAAAAACCATAACAATGTTGTTTTTAGATGATATCCATTGAAAAACTGTAAATAATTTTCGTGCCAACGTTAGTTTAAAACGCTTTGTCAACTTGTTTTTGATGTTACAACAGTAGTTGTCAGTATTTTAATTTAAGTTTGAAGTTCGTTAACTTCAAGTCTGATGAATGGATAGATTAACGGAAATGCATAAAATAACAGTTTTACGAATGATTGGTTACGGAGATAAAACCCGAACGCAACAGGAAGTAGCTCACCTATTTCATGAGAAATTTCCTAATTTATCGCTAATATCTCAAGGAATAATAAGCAATATGGAGAAGCAGTTTCGCGAGCTTGGTCAATTGGGCAGATAAGAAAAAGCTGCCAATGCAATGAGTGATGAACTCAAATTAGAGTGATGCTTGAGTTTGAGACAAACCCACATACATCCAGTAGACACGCATCCAATGTTAGCGATACATCGATGGGAAACATATTGAAATAAAATATAATGCATTCCTATAAAATGATACCTACTCAAGAGCTCATGGAGATGATTTTGATATAAGAACTTAATTTTGTGAGCAAATGATGGACATGTTGGATAACATGGATGATGAGTGTACTTTGTTAACGGTCATGCTAATCGGCAAAATTGCCGCTACTGATCATCGGAAAATCCTCATGGATGAGGAAAGAACACACGCAGGGATTTCAGAAAACCATATCATCGGTCCCTTTTTCATTGAGGGCAACTTGAATCGCGATAATTATTTGGCACTACTTCAAAATGATGTCATTCTAAGTTTAGCAGATTTATATTCTGATCCAGGAAACCCTCAAGTTGCAGTGAATACGATATGGTTTCAGCAGGATGGAAGGAGCACGACCAGATAGCTGAGGTTCTGAGGCAAAGGAACATGTTGGACAATCAACCAAATACAATGAAGAATTGATGATTCTGAGCAGTATTTGAAGCTTTTTAACCATGAAAACCCCAAATTCATGCTTTGATGCGTGACAAAGGATAAAAAATGGCTCTACTATTTTATACCAGAATGAAAATGATCATCATCAGAGTGAACTGCACTTAGTGAACCGACTCCAAAGCGTGCAATGACGCAACAGTCGGCTGGCAAGGTAACTATCTTGAAATGGACAAAACCATCAACAGTAACTATAACATATCCTTACTAGAGGTAACTAGGTAACTATCTTGAAATGGCCGAAACCATCAACAGTAGCTATAACATATCGTTACTGGAGCGTTCAAAGGACGGAAACATTGAACTAATTGAAGGGCTATACATTGCTTCCTCATCCACCGTATTCTCCAGATCTGGCTCCCAGCGACTTTTTCCTGTTCTCAGACCTCAAGATAATGCTCGTTGGAAAGAATTCAGCGTCAATGAAGAGGTTTTCTTCGAAACTGAGGCCTATTTTGAGGCTTAAACAAATCGTACTCTAAAAATTGTTAAAAAAAATGTTTTTTCTGTGTTAGCCTATGAATGTTTGAAGGTGATTGACAATGTTTTATGATGGATTTCATCAGTTCAGACTTTCATTGTCTGAAAGAAGAAGAATTAAAAATGAATACCTGAAAATAACATTTATATTAAGAAACAAACCTGAGATGGAATAATAGTGAAGTAAAATACTAGTGAAAATAGAAGAATTGAACAAAAAATTAAAATATAAAGTTAGGAGATTCCAAGCCAAGTTGATTTACGACGTTTCGATTGTTCGTATCCTCAATTTTCTTCGGATGATGACTGGACCCATTCCTCCGAGAAATGACTATTTATGGGTCATTTGAGTATTTCACCTATTTCCGCTCCACCGGTTCAGTGGAGATGACCGTTTGGCGGGAGTAGTCCATTTTTTGCTTGATTATGGGTTTCCATATATTTCGGGGGGGATCAAGGTGGATTGATCCTCCCCCGAAAATTCTACAATCAACGGCTATCCAAAAATTATAACGAATACAACGATTGGCTTGTTTGAACATCACATGAGTCATGAGAATAACACCAACCGCGGCATTGGAATTAATTACTGGTCTGTCCTCTCTGGACCTGTACTGTAAGAAGGTTGCGTTAATGGCCATGTTACGATTGCACACGGCTGGTGTAAACCTCGAAGTAGGAATGGGTCAATTGAGGCTGGGCCTATGGCGAGAAGCGCACACTGTGCGCCCTTTGCTGCAGGCAACCAGTGATGCAATTGTACCCAGGTTTGTGTTTAATAAACCCTACAGAATACAAATAAAACAGATGCTACAATACAGACGGCTCAAAAACCAAAGGAGGCTCAGGATGTGGAGTGTATTCCAGATCACTAAGCCTAAGGATCGAGAGGAGAATGTAATGAAAACAGCGTGGTTCAAACAGAACTGGCTGATATCTCAATCGCCACAAAAGAAATAACCAGGAAAGAAATTTCTGGCAAAAAAACAACAATCTGCACTGATAGCAGATAAGCCCTATTAGCAAAAGTCCTTGGCAAAACGAAACAAGTGCTTGAAAGAGAATATTGAAAAAAATTTCCCCGAAACACAATGGAAAAAGCTTACGGCAATGTGCGTACAAACTTCCAAAGATCTTGGCGACATTACCTGTTTCTACATGTACATCTGAAAGGACGTTCTCTTCTCTGAAACGCCTCAAAACTTATTTGAGACACTCCACAAGCCAGGAACGACTAAACGATTTAGCGTTAATGTCAATCCACCGTAGAATTGAAATCGACACCAAGAAGGTAATTGACTTGTTCGCTGCAAAGAAAGTTAAAAAACTAAATTTGATTTTGTAAAAAGATGTTAATATTTCTGTAATGGTTTTCTGATAAATATATGATTATGTAACACAATTTTTTTTCTTTCGTTATTTTTATATTTCATGTTTTTCTGCTGTTCCACTAGACCAACCCCCTTCCGAAATTGTTTTCTGGCTACGGCCTTGTTCCTCTCTGTGTATGATCTCAGGGTCCAGGGTTGATGGGTCCAAACATGGTCTGCTATTCCTGATTTGCTGGTTTCCCCTCGCTGTGTGTGTTTCTTGTGCTCGGCAATGCGAACATTGGCCTCTTAGTTTCACCGATATAGGATTTTCCGCACCCACAGGCTATCCGATAAATATGTACATGCAATTCTTGAAATCATAGTCTGCGTTTGGTGGCCTGTTTCCGGATCTGAAGCAGGTTCTGATTTTGTACTTGGATCCAATTATTCTCATCCTTTCGGATAATCCTCTGATGTGGGGAAGCGCAAGTACTGGTTGTCGCGGCTTCTCTGCCTTGCGAGGCTCCTGATGTTTTTTAGTCAAAGTCTGTTCCACCATCGCTTTGGAGTAGCCATTCCGTTTAAGATCATTTTTGATGATGTTTAGTTCCTTCTCGAGACCTTCCTTCGTATTACAACACCCGAAAGCATGATATAATAGAGTCTTGATGATTCTTCTTTCAGTTGATTGGTGGTGAATGGATTGGTGGTTCCGTTTGTGTGGGTTTTCGGTTTACAGATGTTTCCCACTTAGTGTCGGTCTTCTTCACCAATACGTTGTGGACTTTCTTCTCCATTGTGAAAGAGATGGAAGGTCTTACGCTGTTGATGTGTTTTTATTCCAGTATTATTCCATCTCAGGTTTTTGTTATTAATATAATTGTTAGATTATGGCACAATATCATGAGGTAATTCCTGCTATGCCGCAAAAATTTTCAGGTCTCAAAAGAAGGCCATACGCCTAACCGGAGTAGGTCCTAGAGAGCAATGCCGTGACTTATTTACCAAACTGAGAATAATGACGCTTCCATGTATTTACATTTTCCAAACTCTTTGTGAAATACATGAAAATAAACTATTCTTACACCTCTGATATTCACACACAAGATACTAGATCTGCTAACCAAATAGCGTTGCCGAGATTTCGTTTAACAAAATCCACAATGAATTCTATAAATTTGAAACTTTACAACAAGTTGACTTCAGAGATGCGATCACTGAAAAATGCTGAATTAAAAAGGGCTATTGGAAATGTACTTTTGGATCACTGTTTTTATAGTATCAAAGAATTTTTGAATGCAATTCAATTTTATTTGGAATGTGTTAATATACAATTTATCAATATTATGGTTAGGACCACTAGGAGTTTGAGGAAAGCAGCCTAAGCGCAGGTGGCTTGTAATGTGCAACAATAATCCTTCACTGATATATTCATATTTGTGAAGTATGTTACTTTACAACATATTTTTAATGTATGCGTTATATTATATTGTGCTGTCCTTTTAAAACTAAATGTAACAAAAAGTTTTTTATTGATTTATACATACAACGTCTTTCTATGACCATTTTTGATATATGACATGCTGTAAACTTACTGTAAAACAGTCAAATAAATCAATCTATCTGTCTTTCTAGTTTCAGCTCTTCATTTTCAATTCTTCTCTTTTGGTTCTTTCAGGGATTTCAAATCATTTTATATAATATCAGACAATGGAAATCCAAACTAATGAAATTTAACCTATGAATTTTTCAGCCCAACTGTGTCGTTTTTCTCATTTTGCCAAAAATGATTACTTTCAACGTTACATTTCTACAAACTGTCTGCATAATACATCGACCCATTCAATTGTTTGTATCGATACCTAACATTTGACTTTTCCAAGGAAGCAATAAAAACGCCTTATCTGACACCCTGTTCCAGATTTCAACAGCGATACAAACAACCAGTATTCGGTATTGCACTTTCAAATTGCGAATATTTCATTCAATTAACAAGGCAACTAGTAGCTCGTTATTTTTTTCATCAATTTGAGTGAACGTGTTTGGGGTTTGAGTACATATGGTGAACTTAGGTATATAAGACCGGCCACTTTATGCATTTATCAGTGCAACTGTGTAATAGTTCTGTGACAAATACCTACTGCAAATTCAGCGAAAACATGATTGCTAAAGTAAGAAATATTCACTTCAATTTTGATAAGTTTTTATTTAAGTTTGAGATAAAACAAAATCAATAATAAAATCTTATTCATAGAGAATTTTTATAAAAAATGCAAACATATAAAACATGTTCACAAAAAAATATTTTCGAGATAAAATTATCAAAAACTCATTCATTAATCATAAGTCGAATCAATAAAGTATTTCCCTCGGAAGCTCTCTGATATTGATGATTTTTGTTTGTATTTTCTTTCATGTATTATTTGAAATAACAAAACTTTGAAGCAGGGACAGAATTAGGTATATATTTCAAACAGTATGTATGATATGTATTATTATGTGAAAAATGAGAACGGTATATTAGATATTCACTTCATGGCGTCTTCACTGTAGTCGTTTCTGAAAGATATAATAATAATTGGAGTGAAGCGTTCAAAAGAAATCGTAGATTTCAGTAGCTGATGGATTCAGTTCCTGATGATGAAGAAATGGTTTTTGCAGTCAGTCAATAAAAATGCCTTACAATGAGTTTTGTCGACAAAAACCAGGTTGATAAAACATCCTAATATCACAACAAAATTATCTCTAGAACTAATTATTACAGTTTACTTTATGATTTTCACTATAAAGGGTTTTACAAAAACACCGAGAAAGCTATTGTATAGCGAAACATGTGTCGCGGTTTTTGTGAAACCCTCTTTAGTGAAAGTCATACAGTAAACTAAATTGATTAGTTTTAATATGGGTTTTCATGAAGTATCGGCCAGTTCTATTCATTTAAAATAATCTATTCTTCATTCATGCATTCACTGGAGATGATACAGAATCCGCTTCTCTAACAAGTACTGTACAAACCTGCTAACAACTTGAATGAATTGAGATTAAAACGTTTCATAGCATTACATTCGGAGAACAATAGAGTATTTTCAGATAAAAATTAAATTGACGATTTTATCCTGGACGATAAAACATACCCGACAAGGAGTGAAGTACGTTGTTGTTAGACCATTTGCAAGAAATTGCGTAACTATTTACCTGCAAAAAAGGCATAGGTATTGACAATGATTATTTTCAATCGATGTTGGTTCAACTATCCAGGAGTAAATTGTGATTTTGTATAACTTTTGAAAAACTATACAACTTAGATTGCTGCATGCTTAGACAGGAAATGTTTTATGAAAACAACTATTGTGAATCTATGATCAACATGTTGCATTCAGATAGTTATAAAATCAGTATATTCATTCGTAAAAATATCATTAATTAGTTACCTATACTACTCTAGAATATTTCAAGATAGTCAATTTAGGACTCAATTGTCCAATCTGGATATTGGCGGGCGATATATTTTAGGTCCCACATCAACATAGTTATTCTCGATTTATTTGTTTGGATAGCTATTTGAAAATGAACTTTTTTAGAAACAGTCTGTTTCTTCAGCCATAGAATAACTTTGGCTGAGAGAAAAACCATCACATCGAACAATGAGATTTCAAAAAGTTCTTGAACACAAATATGACAGAAAGTAGCTAATTCAACAACGTTTTTTGTTATATGTTTAGTGAAAGTGTTTGCTATGCCCAGTTATCAGAAAAGTAATTTGAGTCAGGCCAAGGAAATTAGATAATTAAGAGCATATTGTAGTTTAAATCTTCATTATCGGGATAATGAAAAGAATGTGGTAGTATATAGCGTTCAATGTCGTCAAATTCATTTGGCATTGGATACTTCCACCTGAAAAGCAATTTTTATTTTGGATGAAAAACGAAAGATCAATATTACAATAATAATAACGAAGGTTTTCATAAATTTTCAGTTCTATTTGAACACGTTTACTAAATCAATGAGTGGACGAAATTCAGTATGGTAATCTGCACCGGGAAGTACAGACTGTCATCCGTTCTTCCACCAAACCTGATATACTCGTATCCTGAATGTCAAAACAAAACAAACACAAAAAACAGTAATTACTTCCGAATGCACTGATGCTATGCTATCACTAAATCCATAAACCTCATATCAAACTTCAGTAAGCGAACTTTTCTGTCGAATGTTGTATTGTATACATCAGAACGAAAGGTGATCTTATTGTACAAATAAGAAGAGTTTTGATAATTCAAGATTTTGTGAAAATATCAAACAGAATGGAGCAAACTTCGATAGCTCATATTCAGCCAGTTGTCAAATTTCAATGTGTATTAGATCCTATAGAATTTGCTGACACCATAGATCAACCTGTGATGCACTATATGGATCTTTCGGTGTATTAACGTCAAGCAACTATTTTGGAGCTTCTGAATCCATTTGATATCAATGGAGTTTATACAAGGAGCGTAAAGAACATCGCAGTAATTCAACCTGGATGACACCAACTTCTGAATCCTGCATTAAACAACTGTCTATTTTGATAAATCAGTTTGGGAGTAAACTAGACTTTTTGTAAACTTGTACTGATATGATAGAACAATCTCATATCATAATCATTCCAGAAATCAATATTCTTAACTTCATTAGAAAGTGTTACAGCACCCCCTCCAATTTGATTTTACCGAAGTTGATCACAATGGATACTTTTCTTGCATTCTTTTTTTCAAAAACGGTTGCAACAGTTTTATTTGAGTTGAGTTGTAGACAATAGTTCATGAAAAATTGCTCAAGAGTATGTAGATCAAAATTCAAAGTAACATTACCCGGAGGGTACTCTTCAGGTTTGAATGACAAATTTAATCGTGTATCAGCACAATAGCGCTGCGTGCATGATAGAAAATACTTAGGAGAATTGCAAGAATATAGACTGGAGAGTAGAGGCCCCAGTTCTGACACTTGTGGTAGTCCTTCATCAGTTTAAGAAAATTTTGAGATTTGTACACCATGTAGAACTGTGTTCAAATAAACATATTCGAGTAAATACGAATATTTGAATGAATATATTTACTTCGATATTCGGTAGATGGCCCTTTGGTACTCACCAATAAATGACATTTATTATTATTATTTACTCCGAATTAGACAAATATTCCTCGGGAATGATAATTTTATACGCATAACAGAAAAAATACTGCGTAACATATGTTGTATTCTATCAAAATCAAAATCAAAAACAAATAATCTTTATTTCCGTAGACCTAGGGAAGGCATGGAAAAAGTCACATAACTCAGTACAATTACAATGAGGTCACAATCATAAAACAACATAATTATAAGACATATTATATAACATTTAGACCATAAAAGGGATACAGAAATTAAAATTTTAAATTTCAAATCAGAGTGAAAAAATTCATCAAGCGAATAAAATATATTTTCACATAATAGTTTCCGAACTTTTTGTTTAAAGAGCTTTACACTAGTTATTTTTTTAATGGATATTGGGAGCTTGTTGTACAGTTTTATTGACATGATATGAGGTCCATTAGTCACCTTGGCTAACTTATGACTAGGAATTAAAATGTTATAGTTTTTTCTCAGGGTGAAGCCCGAAAGAAGACATGTATCATCTCTGTTCTGAAACTTGGAGCAATTTGATTTAACGTAGATTACGCAATTAAAAATATACATGCAAGTAACAGTTAATATATTCAACTTTGCAAATAGTGGTTTACAGGATTCGAGTGGTTTTTTAAAACAAATTGTTCTAATAATCTTTTTCTAGAAAATTAATAAGTCACTGATTCTATTGCAGTTGCCAAAACAAATAATACAGTAATTGAGGGCAGAGTAAACATATGCATAATAGTAACTTTTAAGAATTTCAATAGACACAAAATTACGCAGATTCCATATAACGAAACAATGTGTCGCTAATTTCTTCAGTATGAAATCAACAAGTCGATTCCAATTGAGTTGGGAATCAATAAAAACTCCTAGAATTTTTTTATAGTTTACCTGTTCAATACTTTTAATCTCAGACCTAACCAATACACTACAATCTATCAAGCAAACCAATAGTCAGTGCTCAAACGTTTGCGGTGTGCTGTTTGATATTTTTTATGCTTTCAAAGGGATTGTTCGAAACATTAATATTGAATAAGAAGATTAACTGACGATTCTCTTTTTTAGATTCTAGTAGTTGCTTGTCTCGCCATTTGCGCTCATGCAGGGGCAGTTTCATACATATCAGGAGGACTTGGACTTGGTGGACATGGAATCGGAATTGGAGGAGGGCTTGGTGGACTTGGTAGTCACGGACTGGGTGGTGGTATTGGTCTAGGGGGTCATGCAATTGCTCTTGGTGGTCATGCAATTGCTGCTCCCATTGCCGTTGCCAAACAAACTGTCGTAGACTATTCCGTGAGTATGAAATTTCGAATGATAATAGAAGTGTTTGAGATATGATTGGTATCAAACTTCGTCAGTCTCTGTTAATATCATGTAAGTTTCATAGATACAAATGAATGGCAATTCCTCAAGTAGAGACTGAAGATGCCAATTGCATTGAGTAACTCAATCAAAATGTACGACGATCAACAATCCCCAAAACTGTGTCCTTATCACTATTTCGAAAGTGAACCAATTTTCCTTGTGATGTTCCGTTGGAATCCAAAGTCAACTTCTTATTTAATACGAACATATAGTTTTTTTATCAATTTTAGTAGTCACTCTCATAACAATATGAAAATATATCACAATACATGTATTGCATTATGTTTCTCTTCGGAAACATCATCAGAGTCAGTCAGTCAATTATGCGTCAGACATTTCAAAAAGTAGAGATCAATACCCTCTTTATATTGAACTCAAATACAAACATTGACTTTCGTTCAGTGTACAAAAATTAACTAAATTCTATTTTCCATGGAGCGCAAATGTTCAATTCTGAGCGCGAATGTTCAATTCTGATGCAGATGGAAAAATCGGAGAAAGTTTCCATGCGAAGCCATAATTTCCTTTTGTTCTTGAACTTTTCTGAAACGTCTTCAATTTCTTTTACAGGCTCCTGCTCACTACGAATTCAAATATGGCGTGGAAGATCCTCATACCGGCGACAAAAAACAACAATCAGAAACTAGAGTAGGAGATTCAGTCAAAGGGGAGTACTCTCTCGCTGAACCTGATGGTACCGTCAGAGTTGTAAAATACACTGCAGATCCCCATAACGGTTTCAATGCTGTTGTAAGCAGAGTAGGTCACGCTGCTCATCCTCAGATCGTTTCTAAAGCCGTGATTGGTTATGGACACGGTGGTTATGAACATGGATACTAGTAGAATAGTTTTACTTTTCACTTGAACTGCTGCCAATGTACCTATCACCTCTGCCATAATACTTCCCATTATTTCATTCACTTGTTTCGTTATCATTGTTGCTCGTTTCGCTCCACATTCTTGTTGTCTAGATAAGTTATATTTTTATTTTCGATTAGCAATAAATGTTAATATAACTATTCTGTTTTGTTATTTATTCAATAGTGTTTTAGATAAGATAATAGTGTCTGATATACATTGAAACTCACTGCATGATACAATAAGCATGATTGTATCTGAATCAGTAAATTTAGCAGATAATCTATGAATTGAAAAACTTATGCTTGCATAATGTATATTGCAATGCTCCCATTCTTTCAACTGATTCAAAGTCTTTATATCTATGAAGTATTCCAATACAACACGATTTCTTATTTGTTGTTCTTCTCAACAAAAAATATTCAATAAAAATTGATTCACAAATAAATGATATTCAACAAAAGTGATAATAATAATATAAAAGTATTCGTTTCGTAAGATTTTTTTTTCTTTCGTGTAATTCAATGTTTATATGAAAGTAGCTGTTTCAGGAGGACTTTCTTTCAGTTTGTGCCTGAAAGTTACTTCTTGGAATATTTCGCCACCCCGCTATTTTCAAATCATATTCATACCCGAGTCATTTTGGGAGATTGATTCCACATGAAACCTTCCATATTTCTTGGGATGTTCGCCATAAGTTTTTACCAGAAGATACAGAGAAATATGAACAACTTCTGGTATTATCATCTTCTCTCAAACTCAAAAGGTCTGCCATATATCTATTCAATTCCGTTTCAGGCAGTTTAGCTTTGGATTTCTTATCCCACGGCTCCAATGACGGGATTAATCATCGCAACCGTGATTACTCAGAAGAAGACAGCAGTGGCAAACATAGTATTAACAGTTATAACGTCAGATCAGTGATCCATTCTTCAGTCAAAACTCTTGGGTTCAATGGGTTCAAAAATATTGGCAATATACGTTCCAGGAACCATTAAACAGTGTAATTTAATGTTTATCAAAAACGAGATGGTTGCTGGAAGCTGGTTGCTGGAGCTCAAGGAGATACCAAAAAATGCAGAACTGCTCAAAATATTGAAAAAAAAATGTTGCTACAAGTGTATTATATCCAAGGGGGGCTATTTTGGGAGAGACAGAATACAAATTGATGAATTAATAAATATTTTTTGAGAAGAATGAGAATTTACTTATTTTCTGTTAGTATAGGATAATGAAAAAATAACCAGAATGCGAAAAAGGTGTGCGAAATGGGAGAATAGGTACTGAAGAAAATATTTTATTTTTTAAACTTGTATGATCTTTGAAGTGAAAATGAAAAAATTTAATACAGTATCTAACAATATTTTGAAATGATTCCAAAGAAGAAATGAACATTTCCAAATCTACATTATATGTGTCTCAAAATTCCACTTATATATAAAATCAATCAATCCCAAAATGTTTTCCTGAATACCCAAGGCGTTCAGGTTATGCAACAACAAATTGTTACTTGGTCGAATGCCTTTGAAAAATCTGTGTAACTACATAGAATCAACCTGGTGTCTATTTCCGGAGGAATTTATAATAAATAGTTGATAAATGAGCAGCTTTGTTCTACTGAATCTATCACAACTGAGTCCATATTGCTGATGACAATATGTATACAATCCCATGAGAGCCATACAGGACCAGAAGAGTTCATCAACTCCTACTAGGGGATTTTGAACGTCGCATGACTTTTTGCCAGTGGTTCCTGAATAATTGTCACCGAGTGCTTGATTCTTCGTTACATTATATTCGGACAGACGAAGCGTATGTGAGCAGTGCCGACATTCTCAACCGCTACAATTCTCATACTTGGGCACAACAAAATCCTCATTCTATTGTGGAGCAGAGAAGTCAAGAAATATTTGGATTTAGTGTGTGGACAGGTGTTTTCAGCGGTAGAATTATCGGCCCGTTCATTTATAACGGCACTCTCACACCTCAGACGTATTTAGAATCTTTGAGTCGAAATATTGAACCCATTGTTGATGAATTGCCACTGATGGAGCTCAGAAAAATATATTTTCAAGAAGACGGGGCTTCGCCTTACTACATTGTCACAAATTTTTTTTGGCTGCAAATTTTGGTAATAATTGGATAGTCTTTCAAGGACCCAACCGTTGGCTAGCCAGGTTACCGGACCTAACGCCCATAGACTTTCACCACTGAGAAAGGTTGAGAGTTCTGATTTTCGAATTGTCAACTAATTCCAGATACGAATTGGAAGCGGAAGTGATGCAAAATTTTGCTTCTCTCACTCCTTCACGTTCACAAAAGGTGTCACGTTCACAAAAGGTGACACCTTGCTGTAACCACAGTTTGAATCTTGTCATTAACGATGCTGTGAAATCAAATATATTTTGTATGAACTTTTTCTCAACTGTTCAAGAGTTATATAACTTTTTTTCTGCCTCAAACAATCGGTGGTCTGTTCTGAAACGTAACATTTCAAATTTAACGTTAAAACCTTTGTCAGAGACCAGATGGTCTAGTAGAATAGATGCGGTCACCCCTCTAAGATTTCAGTTGGGCGAAATATACGACGCTCTATATGAAATTTTTTCCGAGAATAATTTTGATAACTCTACAAAACATCTAGCTTCTTCTTTAGCTAAAAAAATTGAAAATTATGACTTTGTCTGTATGTTAGTCTTGTGGTACAAGATACTGGGTAAAGTCGATATTGTTACCAAGATTCTGCAAACTGAACAATTTAATATTTCAAATTCTTGCGAGAGTTTTAACAACCTGATCGCCTTTTTAAACGAATATCGTTCAGATAAAGGCTTCAGTGAGATGTTGGTAGATGCCAAAGAATTGGCAACTGCCTTGGACGTAGATGCGAAATTGAAAAGAGCAGAAACCTTACGGCCACGAAGAATAAAAAAACAATTTTCCTATGAAAGTGAAGATCAGCCAATTGAAAACCGAGAATTAAAATTCAAAGTCAAATGTTTTTTTTTATGCTAGATATTACTCTTTCATCTGTAAATGAGAGATTTGAGCTGTTATCCTCCCATGCCGATGTTTTCAAATTTTTGTGGAATATTGAGGATTTCGGCAAGTATTCTGATGAAGATCAATTTAATTTTTGTAAAAAACTTGAAGAAGCGTTAACTGACAAAAATCGAAATGAGAGAGACATAGACGGAACGGAACTTTTAACCGACTTACAATTTCTACAAATTTGTGACGAAAAGGTAACATCTGTAGTAGAAAAACTTAATTACATTGCAAAAAATTACTTGGCCCACTCATTCCCAAACATTACTATTGCGTTACGTATATTATTAACTATACCGATTTCTGTAGCTTCAGCCGAGAGATCATTTTCTAAACTTAAACTAATTAAGAATTACTTAAGATCTAGAATGGGTCAGGAGCGGCTAGAAAATCTTGCTATTATTTCTATAGAATTAGGTAGATGTAGAAAAAATTTCATAGTTTTCCACGCTGAAATGGGAAGGAGTGATTGATTATAATATTTCTACCCTGGTAATTTTGATAAAGGCGCTTTTCAATATTTCGCACGACGGCGCCGAAGTTACTTGGCGCGTCCCTGGTGTCACCTGTATGTAGGAGAAGCTGGTAGACATTTTGAACACCTTCAGTGGAAAAATATATTTCATTGTCTGTTTTTCATCATTATTATAATTATTGTTGTTTCATTTATTGGTAGCAAACAAAGTATACATTGTTATCAGTTTTATTGAAACAATGCTTTTCAATTACTGCTGTGGAAAGCTTTCCGAACATTAGATAGCTATTACTAAATGATTTTTTTTAGTTTTATCGCCGCGTCGTCCAAAGCCAACTCGATCAAAGTGTGCGTTTCAAAGTCTACATGAAAAAACCTAAAAGCTCTGTATTTAAAGATAACTCCAGCAAAACATCAAATGTGCAACATTTTTGGAAAGGTAATTTCATGCTATATTGAAATATACAGGAATACACAGGATGTCTCAATGAAAAAAATAGTTTTACATCGATAACTGTTGATATCTCATTTGTGAAAATGAGTTTTTTACACTACTGAATTCTACTTAAAAAAAGTTCTTTGGAAATGTTTTCATAGAAACAAGAAATTTTTGACAGGAAAAAATTTTAGGCCCCATTTCGAAAATCCACATTTTTTTAAAACATTCTGTAACTCAGAAACAGTGACAGAAATCGATATGATGTTCTCATCATTGAGTTTGTCATGAAATTTGACCTCCAGACACAGTCATAAGTTCATCTATCTAGTTTGAAAACAGGAGTTTCCCTTTAAAACTGTTCAATTTGGCCCACTCTGTACGAACATTGTGAATGAAATATACCATTTTTCCTGGTGAAGTGAAACATAAAATCCAAACGTACCATAATGTTTTGAATTCAATAGATGAACGTCAACTCCATTGTAGGAATGTATGTCACAAAACAGCATGTATTTTTGATTTTTGAAAAAAAATTCTAAGTTCAATAGAAAAATATGCTCACCATTTCACTCGATGTAAATCAAACCACACCTCTTAGAACAAGTTTTTCAGAGTTTCAAATCAAAACATATTGATGAAAAATACATTTCAGTTGAATGGTTCGATGATAGTCTTAAACTTATGAAAGATTCGCTATCAGCTCTGAAACTTAAAGCTGATGTAACTAAAAAAAAACTAATTGCAACAACTACACCCGATTCAAAACTATATAACTACAACTGTTCATTGAAGAAAGCAAAAAAGGCAGCTTATGATCGATATATTACTTCAGCTGAAAACAAATCGAAAGCATGCTGGCAGATAATAAACTTTGAAAGTTCCTGATCTCACGCCTGACGATTTTAATGATTTTTTTTGTCAATATTGCTGTTGACATAATAAAGTCCTTACCATTTGTATCGCCCAGTGAACTTCTAAATTTCAAAAAATTTCCAGCCTCTTGTGTAACACCGTAACTTCTTTGGTGTTTCGAAAATTGTTTAAATGAATAATGTTATTAATTTCAATCGAGTAACGGGTCAGTCTATTCATAAAGGTATCGAATGTATTAGATTGATTAACTGATAAATTCTAGTCGTATTCAGAATTGAGATCAAAGTAGTATCGGAAATATTTCACAGGTATTCCTAAAAATATATATCTCAGCCACTTGTTACGCAGGATCTGGTTACTACAATGCTGTTTATTATGCATTATCGAAAAATGATTTAATGCAGTGAACGTATTCAAATCGAACATTTGGTATATAAGGACGGAGAATTTGTGTTTTGATATCAGTTTGTGTGAGTACTCGAAAACGACAATGTTTGCCATAGTGAGTATTTTGAAATATTTTGAGAATTACGGAAAACTTAACTGGTTTGTAACTGATTCAACGAAGATTTTTTCAAGGCTTGTATTCTCAAAATTGCATTTTGAAAATCTGAGTTTTTTATTTCTCACATATTTATGCTGCTATGCATGCGTATATTCTCTGCTATACATACAGTGTGGCCAGTGAAATATGCATCATATTTTTTTCTTCACTCATTCGAAATTCGACAAACACCAGAAACATTCCTGATGTGAGAAATAGATTCAAAAAGAAACTTCGTTATTGCCAGGAAGTGAATGGCAAACATTTCAAACTGTGATAAACTGAAGTGAGATTTGAATACATTTTTTCTTGAAATTGTGTCATAGCTTTTTCCTTTTTTTTACTGTGGTCTGAAAGTTTGTATAACTGACGTTTCGTGTACAGTTGCGGTGGACATTATCGGAAGCGATGCAGTGCAGAAACAAACGTCGGGGATCAAAACCTTTAGATCACGATAAAAAATCTCGAAAAATAGCTTCGACACAGTAATCTGTGGTCGTGAAATTTTGATTTCTTCGAATACGAAACTGTTTTTTTTTTTTCGACGATTGGAAAAATGTTCAAAAGACACCAGGTCGCCCTGTGACCAGATAGTGTCGGATTTTCACCTACTAAAAAACCACTCATGAGTCAAGTAGGCTACCGCCCTCGGGCATTACTTCGGAATAGCACACTGTAGTGATGGTTCAGGGCTCTTTCTTTTTTTTCAGTACTCCATTATTATGCATCTAGTTCTTTTCTTTTCTTCTTTTTTTTATCAGGATGGTCTTGGAGAGTTCACTAACGGCTTTCCAGTTTTCTATACTTTTGAGCATTTTCCCTATCATGTTTTCCGGTGTTAATTCTCCTGTCGTCAGTTGTGCGTTTCGTCTCTGTGCTTCCCAACGTATGCATTCAAAGATTGTATGTTCTACCGTATCTATCATTCCGCAATACTTGTTCTCTTCTGAGTCACTCACTTTAAACCTGAACAGATACGCCTGAAAACACCCATGCCCCGTTAGTACTTGTGTGAGAAAGTAATTCACTTCTCTCCATTTTCTGTTCACCCATGGTTTTATGTCACTTATCAGTTTTCTTGTTCACTTGGCCTTTCCATCGTCTATCTCCCAAGATTGTTGCCATTTTTCCATAATTTGTAACCTTGCTAGCCCTCTTAATACGTTGTTTTGTACCATTGTTCTCTCTTCCGCCAGCAGATCTATTGGGGGGGTTCTTGCAATCATCAGCAGAGCTTTAGTTGATGTTGTTTTATATGCGCACGTTATTTTTATGGCTGATTTCCATTGAACACTAAGTGATATATTCCTGTATACCTTTTTTTCGATGGCTCTTTTCCAAATTGTTGCGCCATATAGCATGATTGACTGGGCGATTGAGCATTGAATTCTTCTGCTACTTTCTCGAGGACCCCCAACGTTGGGCATCATTCTGCTTATGGCTTTACCCGCTCTTTCTCTTATTTTTCTAACATGTGCTCCCATTTTGATATTTCGATTCATGTGGATTCCCAGGTATTTAATAGATTCTTGGATACGGATGTTCGATTCCTCCAATTCAATTGTAATACTTTTCAGTTTTCTCTGACTTCGGAGTGGCAAGCTTGAGTTGTTTCGCTGTCATCCACTTGGCAATATCCTCGACAGTTCTATTGGAAGTTCTTACCAGACTTTCTTCATTTTTCCCCAGCACCACTACGGCTAGGTCATCTGCATAGCCTATTACATTAACTTCCCTAGGGACCTTCAGATTCAGTACCCCATCATAGTATATGTTTCACAATGTGGGACCACTTACGGAGCCTTGTGGAACACCACATGTGATGTTCATTTTCCCCTTGTATCCTACTATTTACTCCCTCTCTTCAAGGTAGCTGGCAATCATATTGTACAGGTATGCAGGTATGCTTTCTAATAGAAGCGGCAACACCGCATTGTCGAAAATATTTTAGTTGGCTAGAGAATGTCCGAATATGCCCTCCATTAAATTTTCAAAGTGCTCCGTTGTCTGGTTCACCAGAAACGTCTAATGTGCCATCCACCGTGAATCAGCCTGTATACTTTGACATAATTAACATAAAAACTTGTCGATACCTCCGAACATTTGCTATTCTGTTCGGTCTATCTGTTGAAATCTGTGTTTCTGTAAATGTATTCCATTCGAGATAATGATCTTGATGTCTATTCCACATTATGAAATGAATCAAACATCTAATTCTCCCCAATTCTTCCGATTTCGATAGTATTACTGATAGTAATACTCAAAACTTCTGAGAAGGCAGAAGGTGAAACCTCATGATGGTTATCGTTATTTCCCGAAAAACCAACAGCGACTGTCAATTAGTCGATGACTTATAGTAAAATAATTGAATTTCGAAATATTCATCACATTCAACTGTACCTACACAGTGGGTTATGATAAATGCATGACGAAAAACAATAATTTTCCCGTCTAATAACACGCTGGATATTGAATTAAATCCGACAGACATTCATGCAAGATATCTCACAGAGGTTAGTCTTGCAGATCTTTCTCGTTCATCCACCAGCAGGACCACAGTGAAGTTAATCAAATAGATCATCTACAGACCGGTTTCAGTACAGGAAAGATCCCCAAACAGTAGTGTGTCTGGTACTCAATTGATTTTAACGCGGCTCGACTGCATGTATAAAACCTTCGTCCAAGAGAAATATTGTTAACTAGTAACAGCTTTATATCGTGAACAAATCAAGTGATGTAGTTACTTGATTGATTTTGGCGTGGTCCTACTGCTGAATTGCATGATTGTCTATCGAATATAAATCAATATCCAGCGTGGTATTAGCCGAAGAAGTAGTTGGTTTTCGGTTTTCTGTTCAGAGATTACTTTTCGGGTCATTTGTTTTCCTATACGTTTGTGTAGCAGCCGGACTGAGTCATGGCCGGTGATAAACCCCTCCCCCCCAATAAGTATGTATGTACGATTTTGCCCACCGGCCATCGCTGAGTACGATAGCTGTATCTCTCTTCGATACCGTCCTCATTATTTCAATTGACATTCATTTTAATATTTCATGGGGGACATGTTTCCATCCGATGGAATCTAAGAATCCATCACATTTTCTATCCTAGCTGGAATTTGAAAAGAAGAAGACTGTATTTCTATATTATATATCATTTACAGAATTCCATGTTAGTACTCACCAATTTTTTTGAGCAGGTTTTTGCTTTCTGCATCCTAGTCGCCACTGCAAATGCTGGTGCAATTTCAATTATCGATGGAGGAATTGGTGGATTTGGAGAAATTGGTAAACTTGGCGGACTTGGTTTGGGATATGGTGGGATAGGTCTAGGAGGAGGGCATGGTATTGCAATCGCTAGGCCAGCAGTTGTAGACTATCACGTGAGTGAAATCATTAGTTGTTTACTGTAGGAATACGTCTTAATAAGTATCGTATACGTGCCGTCTTTTCAGACGATATCACTATCGCTATCTCGGAAATGATAAGACCTTCAAAGTCGAAATTTGACAAGAGTTTCCTATTCTGGAAAACTAGGATAATCTTTCTTCAAATCGAGAATATTAGTGATTGTTCTAGGAATATTCGCCAAAAACTAGAATTGTCGAATTTTTATTTTTTGGCTCTACGCCTCTATTTCGAATGATATGAAAGAAGGCTAGAGGACTTTCAATACTGTTCCATATCCATTATAATCTGATGAAAACCAATTTGCAATTTTTGTTTATTGAATTTCACCATCAACTTTTTTTAATTATAATAAATGTGTTTTCCGGCGTTTTTCTCATCATCACGGTATGGTCATATAATTCCCTATCAGAGCTTTCGATTCTAGAAGTCAAAGCTATACATAACTTCACATATCGTAAAAACATGTGACATATAAAGTAACTAACATAAAAAAAAATCTGTTCATCTTCCCTCAACATATTCTTTTTTTCAATAGTATTTTAAGACGATTTTCCAACATGTTATAGTCATGCGAATCCTTCTTATTGTCCCTTTCAATTCGTCAGTATTGGCAAAAGTTGAGCTAAATCCCTTGTCTTCAATGTTTTCAATGAAAAGACCAGAAGTGTCAAGTCGGGTGAAAGTGGTGGCCATTCAATCGAGCCATTGTTTCTTGTCCATCGTTCTGGCACAATCGTATTGAGAAAATTTCTACCAATAGTTCCGCGATGTGGCAAAGCTTCATCTTGTTGGAAATCCTGATATTCTCAGAATATTCAAAGGCAAATATTCCAACAACTCAACTATACTGAAATTCTAAAATTCTATAATTGTAGGTACTGAATTCTTATAAATACGATTGCATTAAAACAAAAACATTGTTGTTATGTTGTGTTCTTATATATTTCATCATCTGATGAAATGAAAAGAATGATTAAATATATAGAATCACAACCCAACAACAATGTATTCGTTTCAATGCAATAATAGTCCTGAAAAGGGATCTATATTCATGGTTTCCAGCACACCAATCCAAACATCAACTCCAAATATCTCTTGAAAATTTGTAGCTCTATGTGGAAAGGTTTTTTTGGCGCCAGTGATGATGAATATTTTTGTTGAACCATCCGTTATTTGTGAATATACTCTCATCACGCCATGAAATTTTACTACAGATTTCATTATCTTGAAGATGTTGACTGAGTAGCCATCTACGAAATATTTTTCTCCTATCATAGTCCGTCAAACGCAAATGGTGAATATTTTTGACTTTGTAAGGTCTAATTTCATTTCTTCTCAAAATTTTCCGAACTGACATAGTCCATATACCATTATGATGTGCCATCTCTCTAAACGATACTTCTTTGTTCTCAATTTTTCGTTATTCCACAAATCCTGGTTCGGGTAAATAATACCTTACTATTACTGAGAATGTCTTCTGAACTTACCTTAAACGCCAATTTCAGTATCACCACCTGTTTCAGTTACTGTACAACTCTCACTCGAGGGTTCTCAAAAGAACCATGATTCCGTAAACTCCTCTCATTTCGTTGCTTTCACAGAAATTAGTCACTCCTAAAAATAAAACCTTTTCAAATCAAACAATTATACATATTCTGTCAATTCATGGTTCACGTTGAACAAATCAATTCATTTCGGTATTCTCATAAATGTTTTGTCCACTATTTTATGTGCCAGTAAAGATCAGAAATAAACATACATGTTACTTTTGAACAGTTTTTCCACATTTATACTGAACCCGGCATGCATGGACTTTTACGTCTACTTGCAGATATATCTTTGAGTTCTTAGATATTAGTTTCTATCTATTCGAGACTTAACGTATATTGATTATGGTATTTCGTAGACAAACATCGGGAAATACATGTATTGCAATATATAGCTGAATGTTTCATCAAAGTAGCTTCAAAAATCGATTAATAACACTGAAAGTCCGTATATTCAAAAACATGAAGATGATGATGAAATCCAGTGAACGAAGCGATGCATTGTGACTTGGTTCATATCAGATTATAACAAATATGAAACAGTATTGAAAGTCCCTCTGTCTTTTTTCATGTCATTTGAAATGGAGGGGAAAGAGCCAAAAAACGAAATTCAACAAATATAGTTTTGGCGAATATTCCAAAAACAACCACTGATGTTCGCAATCTGAAAAGATATTATTTCAGTTCCCCGAAAACTTATGTACAATCAAGCCAACCTTGTAGGTCTCACCGTTTCTGAGATAGCAATAATATGATCAGTTAAAAATTGGACTGTATACTTTCATTCTCGTATTTCAATCTCATGCTTTTTCAAAGGCCCCAGCTCACTATGAGTTCAAATACGGAGTGGAAGATGCCCACACAGGTGACAACAAGCAACAAGCTGAAGTTAGAGTCGGTGACACTGTCAAAGGAGAGTACTCTTTGGCGGAAGCAGATGGTACCATCAGAGTTGTGAAATATACTGCCGATCCACACAATGGATTCAACGCTCAAGTAAGCAGGATTGGACATGCTGCCCATCCACAGATTGTTGCTACGCACGGTTTGGGATTAGGACTGGGACATTATTAGAGGGATATTTTTTGAGTATTTGCTGTAAATATGACTGCCATTGCTTTTCATCGAATCATGATTGTTTGCTCATCTCATATTTATTTCACACATAGTACCTACAGTTGTTTGTGTTGGATATATAATATACATTTAAAATAGGAAACTGGAAACGTTTTTATTTAATATTTTCGTTAGTGACTACCTTCCTACCTACCTCCTCTTGAAAATCAGGTTGAATTGCATTCTGTTTCACGATCGATGAGAGTACAGATAAATTCACATACAGCCAGTACAGTAGACCGGTTAGGTCGATAGCCAAATTGCGCATTACACAGTAGCCTATTTGACTCGAAAAATTAGAGTAACCTTTCCTTAAGAATTAGTTCAAATATTTTACATACAAAGACTCGACTGGTGACACACAGGGGCATGCAGGGGCAAACTCCAATCTGCCAGTCACACGGTGCAGAATACTTGAAACTGTACAATGAGTTGAAGGCAGATCCAATACTAGGAATGCCCGTGGATAACACAGTTCCGCAGTACATATTTCAAAAAGGTTTCAAAATCATCATACCAAGTGAAGAGGACTGGCAAAACGGCCCACCGCTAAAAGCTGAAGAAACTTGGTGTACAGATGGCTCAAAGGCCCAAGAAGGAGTCGGAGCCAGTATATACGGAGGCAGAGAAAAGAAGAGAATCGCACTTAGCCTCGGACATAATGCAACTGTGCCCAAGCAGAAGTAGCGGCCATCGAACACTGTATAGGGGAAATAAACAGGCAGAAGGTCACAAATAAAACCAGTGACATTTTCTCCGACAGCCAGGAGGCTATTAAGGCGCTCAGCTCGTTTCAAGCCTTCTCAAGACTGGTGGGAAGCTGTCTGAGCGTACTCAAGATGTTAAGTACCCAAAATAGGGTCACTCTAGCTTTGCCCTTGAGACCCTCATTGCCCTTGAGGGTCTCAAGGGCAATGAGGAAGCCGATGTTCTAGCCTGTGAAGGCGCATCCAAGGCTATGATTGGCCCAGAACCCTTCTGTGGGGTAGCAAAAGCATGCATAAAGACATCCTTGAATTCACGGATGCAAGCCGAATCGATATAAAGGTGAAATAATCTCCCAGGAATAAGGCAGGCGAAAGAGTTCATAAAGAAACCATCGCCAGGTTCACGGATGACCTGCTAAACCACAACCGTAAGGGAAGTGGTGGGTCTACTAACAGGGCTTAGTCAACTCAGGAAACATGGATCTGACAAAAGAACCCAATGCAGGTTATGTCAAAAAGAGGAAGACACCGCACTACATGTGCTCTGTGATTGCGAAGAGATAGCAAGGCTGAGACTTGCACGAAGCGAGGAAGAAAAACCGGAGAATGCCAGCTATATGAAGGGGTCAGTGTCAAGGCTGTGGAGTCTCATCGAAGATATCAAGCTAGACAATGAGCTCTAACAACCAAGGAGCAACACAGTAGACAATTTATCTAATCTTCCCGTCCAGGCATGGCCTGACCCATTACTTGATGAAACATTATCCATGATAATAATTATAAAATACTGTAATTATCATCGTGGATTTATAGGTACTAATTGATGAAAGTCACTAATATAAATTGCAAAAAGGAGCGGTCCCAGGACTGAACCTTGCGGTACACCAACTTTTTTTGATATTATTGTTGATTGGTTACCATCAAGGTAAGTTGATTGGGTCGTTCCGGAGAGATAGCTATTTATAAGTGACATTGCATTATTGGTGAAACCAAAGCACTTGAGTTTTATGGACAATAAAGAAGGATCCAAGGTATCGAATGCTTTACTGTAATCAAGCATTGAGTGACATGTGAAATTTCCTCCATCAAGTGATTTGAATATGTCGTCAGTGACGAGACTCAGAGCCGTAGTAGTGCTATATAGAGGGCGAAATCCAGACTGAACGGAGGTAATAAGATTTTATCGTTTACCATAATCTGTGATATGTTCTTTAATGATCATTTCGAAGGCTTTTAAGATGGCAGGAAGAATACTTATAGGTCTAATATCAGAGAACTCTGAGGGATCGTTACATTTTGCCAATGGCTTAACTCTAGCATGTTTCCATTGAGAGGAGAATTTACTAGTCTCAATGACAAAGTTGAAGATATATGTTATGTATTCCAATAAATGGGGCAAAACTAAATCCCACATACGAATTGTGATTTCATCAGAGCCCATAGCATTACTACTGATTTTATTAAAGTGCTTATTCACGTCATACGAGTTTATATTATGAAAAATAAACTCTGGTTCATATTTAGGATTGTAATATGTTTCGCATACAGCTATTCAACTGGTGGTTTTTTTAATATTGGTATATTGACGAAATGTTCATTCAGATAATTTAAATTTTTCAAAAACGGCAGAATAGCCGGAGTTTTATTATCTCAAAGTACTTCAACAGATCTAAGAGTATTCCATGTTGCCTTAGAATTCTTATGTCTAAGTACATAATTGAAATATACAGTTTTTTCACGGCTGATAGCACTAGGTACATAATTACGCAATTCTTTATACTATTCCCATGATATTGGTGTTCTCATTCTCTTGTATCGTTGGAATGATTTGTGTTTCAGTTCAAGTATTAGTTTTATATTGTACGTTATTCAGAGTTTGGGCGGCTTAGTAGCTCTAATTGTGCGATTAGGAATATGAGTATTGAAAATTTGTATTAAGTTATCATTTAAGAAGGGAAGCATGTCATCAACATTATCAAAAGATAAATACTACCCCAATTTACTTGAAATAAATCTTCCTTGAAGGAGTTTACTTCAAGATTTCTGAAACCACGGTAACTAACAAACTTTTCATATTTTGTTTTGGGTATATCAAAATCAAGAATGATAGCAAAATGAACGGAAACACCATCAATATCAATAACATCTGAGGACAAAATGTGCTGTAAGTTATACACAACAAGAACGTCTATGAGAGTTTTGCTGTTTTCTGCTACCCCGGTTAGAGATTGTACCAATTGTACCAAACTGTATGAGTCTAATAAATCATTGAATAATCGACATTTTCTATCGGAAACTAATAAATCTATATTGAGATCTCCTAAAATAATGAATGATTCACTTCTTGGAAGTAAACCAACTACGGCGTCTTCTAATTCATTAAGAGAACTTATTATATTAGCTGATGGTGGTCGATAGACAACTCCAACTACAACAGTTTTATGTTTGAATTTTAAGGACACCCATAGCTGTTCAAATTGTTCACTAATATCAGAGTGCAAGACAGAACATGTTAAGTGATTCTTCACATAAAAAGCTACACCTTCCCCCAAACCATTTCTATCAGTCTGCAAGAACTTATAATCACTGAGATCGAATAAGTTTAAGTCACTTCTTTCACTGAGCCAAGTTTCTCCCAAGGCAACAGCATCAAAGTCATTATATTGTAAACTATAAATTCAGGTACTCTATCAAGTCAAGTACCTCTATTAGTACCTACAGGGGTGATAAATAAGGGCTAATGTAATGAACGATTGTTAGTTTACTGTCTACTGTAAGTTTGAAAATGTCCGTATAGGACGAAACTGCAGTATCGATAGTTACAAATAAAGGTGGTGAAAAACAAAAAGTTTCATTTCTCTCTTCTCAAATATGGGATTCTTTCAGAAAATTGATTCCTCCTGAAAATAAACCCCTTTCTGATATATTCACTTACGTGAAAATTTGGTATTATTGATGGTGAGTAAACTTTTTTCATCACATTTTAACGATGTAACGATTCAATTATCTGACGATATTTCATCAATTGCATTAACGAAATTATCGAAGTTCCGTCAACTCATGATAAATGATTTCAAAATGGAATGGTACATTAACAATATTATTTGTGAACAATATATGAAATGGGTGAAACTTCGATTAGTTTTTCTTGTTCATCCAACCTTGAATATGAATTGGTTCACTGAGCAAAACGGTAACAATATTTTCATATTTGAAGTTTTCTGTGAAATTGGAAAGAGGGTTGGAATAACCCCTATTGCCTGGGAGGAGAAAACGGGATTCAATTGGACTGTATCCGTTTTATATTCAATATTGTGTTTTATGGTATTCACATTTTTTGTTGCGAAAAGATTCGTATTTAATATGGTGGAATTAAGTTCTCAGGAGATAGACGATATTTTGCAAATATTGTTTGGTATTGAACATACTTGTGCAGTCATTTTCATGCTGACAATCATGATACATTACTTCGCTCATAACAAACTTTGGAGAAATATGACTGGTATGATTCAGCCCAAAAACATTTCTGAAAGCCCCGGTATTACGTCAAAAGAGAAAATACAGTGTATTCTAAAAGTGTTCTTGTGTCACTTGATTTTTGTTTCATTCAAAATGGTAGACATTCTCCTGCATCATAAACATGATTTGTTGATGACAATATATTTGATGGGATATATCTTCGTGAGAGATTATTGGCAATTTGTAGCACTTCAGATGTTTTGGAGATTATCCAACATCATGAAGGAACGTTATGAAAATTTGAAGGCGATGGTATTGCATATTTTTTCAGTGAATTCGATGAATGAGACACTATTGAAGAATAAACTGAAAAATATCATATTCGGATACTATGAACTTCATCTGGCTAATCAATATATCAACCAGTTCTTTGGCACTTCAAATTATTTATTAATAACATCCATGGTAACTACACTTATGAATATTTGCAAATTCGGTTTATTATTTCATAATTTGAAGGATTATTATGGATCATATTACTATGTCGTTCCACTGGTTACGAATATCATCTATTCTTTGGTGAGTACAAATTTTATATATTTTGTAGAGCGTGTTCATGATCAATTTCAATAGCGCCCTCCCCACATTTTGAAATTTTATATAAATACCTATTCAATTCAATCAAAACAAGCGCCATTTGAGTCAGTGCTTTTTTTTCAACTTAACAAAAGTCGAATAATTCTGTCAGCGTAAAAATTGATCACTCGGATTTTGATGAAGTCGAAGAAGGCCGTTTTCACCTGGTCCTTATTGGCGAAAGTTATCGAAATGCTCGAGAAGGTGGGCGAAAGGTCT